TAATCAACAAATGTGGTAACTTTACCGTTGTTTCTGAGTAGCAAATGTGTTTAGTAAACTTTTGAATAAGTATAACTTCCAGATGTATCTACATTTACTGTTAAAAAAAGCGAAAATAGTTTCAAAATCGAAAAACAGTGTGTGTATCTCCTTTAACTTTGCCTGTAACGACTGGATATAACGACAAAATTACAGTCGTCTCTCTGTTGTTGTTATACCCGAAATTTACTGTATATACTTAAAAGTACATATAAAAGAATAAACTGACGCTGACTGACATAGGCAAGTACTAAGAAATAATTTTACAAAATTCAACCTCTGAAAAGGTAAAAAGGAAGGTCAAAGTTTGATTAAAGTATAATTTCGACTTTATAGATACCTAATCCAAAACCAGCAAAATTAAACTGAACGGCGTTTAGGTCGCTGAGTCGGGAAACATTTGCACAAATAATATTCTTCGTATACAACTGCTCCATTTACTATAAAACTAAACAAAACTATCAAAAAATTCCAATCGCACTAATGGCTCAGGGGTTATGGTAGGAATGATTTCAAGTACTTTCATTCGTTCTTTACCAGGAATTATATCCCTTAAATGTCTCAAAATTCCAATATAAAATGACCCTAATTTCTTTATTCTGCTTTCAGTATTAGGTATACGTTTTCTCATCGCGACTTTACTATTTCAGTTTCATAATATTTATTTATATTTCTTTTATTTCTTGTACTTCTTATTTATTGGTTTTTCTCGTAGCTATATATTTTCCATTTATTTGTCTCCTTTATATATAAATTGTATCAAGGGAAAAATAGAGAACTATATGGAAACCAACAAGAAATATAAAAATAGGCGAGATAGGTTAGTAGGGCACCTTCTCAGGCACGAAGGTCTAGTTAGAGATATATTAGAGACAAAAACAGGAGTTAAGAGGAGTAGAGGTAGACCTAGATCAGATTACTGTTCGCAAACACTTAAAGATGTGGGATGTTTTAGGGAAATACGAAGATTAGCTCAGGATAGGAAAGAGTGGAGGTGGGTGTCCAACCAGTCTTAGGACTGACGACCTTGCGAAGATGATGAGCATATAATAGTAGTGAATATATACTGAATGAACACCCTATATGAGACTTGACATTTTTAATGGAAAACTGTAAAGTTTTGTTTGCGGTTTGGCATTCATTATACACATCGGCTGGTTGCTTTCGACACAAGGTAAAAATCACTAGAACAGCTGGCAACCGAGATACAAAACACCCTCAACTGAAATATACCTCCACAGTACAATGTTAACATCAACGCATTATGTATATAAGACATTCTGGTCCCTTTTTATAATACACAGTGATAAATTTCAGCCTCGTGGTTTATAACAACCATACCTATGTGGTTTACTACAAGCTGTTACGTTGTAGGATATCCTTTACCCACGCACTACTTTCCTCGACTTTCCTGACATACGATCATTCATAAACCGAGTTGAATTTACGTTCGAATGTATATGAACAGCATTTTCCCAGTTTCATTTATTGTCGTTACTGTGGAGATTTTGGTTGACTCACTGGCACTGGAATCAAATTAATATGCAAAGCATATTCATTCCGCTAACATCGATATGTACAGCTAAGCTATAGCACACAAGTGATTCGATATGCATTTATGTAAGTTTAACATTACATTACATTACATAACTATAAGACACACATTCCGAGATTCCAAACGATGAAAACATAGAAAAATAAAATATTGCACATTAACTGTGGAGGTAATAAAAGATTAAATACGAGGGTCGTCCTTATAGTGCTAGTCAGCTGCTGTAATCCAACGATTTTTGAGTATGACACCTTTGATGTTAAAAACGCTTTTTAAATTTTTAAGAATACATGTATAATTTCGGGTGCTTTGTTAAACAACAAAAAAATGAAATATTGCTATTTTATGGTGTTTAATTGTTCATATCTATTTTGTTGATTTAAGTCAATAAACGGGATATTTCTATAAATAATATAGTTTTGATAAGAACCAAAGTTTCTATGAAAACATATTTTTGCATATTGTATAAAAAATGCTGGCCCCATTTAGAACGTACGCACAAGTGTGTTTTAGATACCTACAATAATATATACATTGTTATTGTTATCTAAATTACAAAACTGAACTGGGTTAATGACCAGTAAAACATTAAAAATCACTGGAAATAAAAAACAAACTATTGTTATATTTGCAATAAACGTTTGTTTTTATCAATTTATTAATTTGAATGTGTACCTACGTATTTGTTAACAGCAATATAATTTCGCTATTTTAGACTTTATCTCTGTTCTAGTTTTATTTTCAAACGTTAAGAATTCGTTTGCAAGTACATAGTAAATAGTGGTTTTTTAACAATACTCGCATAATATGAGATATAAAATGTCTTGTTAGTTAAATTAAGAAAACACAATCGCGATTGTTAAGGATTAATGTCATTATTTCAGAAATCAATTCGGATATTTTTTGTGTAAATTTGTGATAATAGACAGCTAATATAGGCACCTAATAAAATTACATACATTATACTTTTAAATTATCTAAACTGGAATACATTTTTACACATAAGTGTTTTTTTGGTATTTCTGATGATAAATATTATTTGTAGGTAATTTTTTTTCTCTTTGAAATAATAAAGCTATAAATAGTTTACAGTTTTCCAAAACAGACAAATTTCTTATGTTCATTAAAATGTGATTTTCAATTAATTGCAAGTATCTATATCACATTTATCTAATTCAATACAAACCAAATCTTATCTACATACGGCAGTATGGCGTTATCTACAGATAATTGCTGTTAAATGAAGTATTTCATTGATTTATCGAGATTGTTTGATAAGATAACATAGAAAATTTGATGGTTTCAAAAAATAACTGACCAATTTTGATTTTGAATTATTAATTTATATGTAAAAATAATATTATATACTCAAAAATGATTTTCAGTTGTAATTTTCTCCGTCAATTTTAATTCGGTAAAAATGGTAATTCAATGAAAATTATAATACCTAACATGCACGTTTATTCTATAAATTAATTTCTATTATTTTATGTTGTACCGTCCAAAAGGTAGATACTTAAGTAATTATGTAACTGTATCTAAAAATAATTCAATATTTAAACATTATATTAATATTTGTAGTACACTATGCATAAATGAAGTCTAAACCTTGGTCTCTGTTTATTTTATTTACTTTCATTAAGCTTGCATCTCTATAGTATTTTAACAACAGTAGGATTTAAAATTGTGAAATAGCTTGCGGATTTTGCAAAAGTAAAATAAATTTATTCGATAACCAGGATTTTACTAACCGTTTAGGTATGCATGCACGTAATAAAATCACACAGAAAATAAGTACTGAGAATTTCGTCTAATTAATTATACAATTTTCAGACTTATCAATATACATACGTGCGACAAGGTTATTTATTTAAAGATAAAACCTGCAGTGAAAACCCAATTAAGAAATAATGGTTTTACCGACATTAAATTCTTTAAATGACAATTATGAATATAATTCAATCAATAGGTAACAAAACTTTTAATAACTGACATGCTGAACATGATTACTTCTATTTTATACTTCTAAAATTGCTACCCAATGCCCATATGTCTCTAGTGTTTGCTGTACTTAATTTTCAGTATCTTACGTAACACGATTCCTGAAGGAGCGTCTTTAGGCCCTGATCAGTTTATAGCAAAGAGAAAAAGAAACACCCTCCTCACGCGATCAAACTAACCCCAATAACTCAAGTGAATTGTAGAATATAGATGAGCTTGAGCTTTTATCAGATTGTATCTTCTTCTATCTATCGATATAAAAGATAAATGCACACAATTACGTATATTATAATCTATAGGTAAACCGCAATTATCCCTGGCTACCGTACATGTAATGATACGGTTGACGCCTCTGTTTTTTAGTTATAGAAAAACCTAATTTTGATGTTTCTCTTTCCCACAGGGCTAATTATTGTGTTGAAAAAAAAACAATAAAAAACATTTAATACAATTTGCTTACAGGCAAAAGTGGAGCTTTCGAAAGTTTGTCCGTATTATTTTGGTGAAAAATTTAGAACTTATCACAAGTATTTTCCGGAAAGAATACTTCTTCGGTAACCTTGCATCTCATATTTCAAAATATGTTTTACAATAGTGATTTTTCGTCCCGTAATAAATAGTCAACTTTATAAAAATATTTTTTAAAAACCTAATAATCATAAGTAGTGTAGAAAACCAATAAGTCATTGAAACACGACAAGATCCGTTGGTATTCCAATTAAATTGAGTTCTAATAAAAAAAGGAATACTAATCTTCGATTGAGAAACAACTAACCAATTTATTTCCTAATATGTTATTTATTTACCCTTGATATTATCTAACTGTTGTTTTTTCTTAAAATACGCAATAAAAAAAAGATACTAATAAATAAATGCGACACTAGTAATTACAATTACGGATAAGCGTATAGATGTGTGCTGTTTGGTCTGCTGAGTCTTCATTTACACTGTAAAACGTGTTATTTGTGTATTGTAAATTAGATTTTGCTGTTGTTTGTCAGAGTTATTTTTATTTGAAGAGTAATAGACAGACGTGAAGTATTACAAACAAGCAAACTGCGAATGGCGCCAAACAATCACTATCGTCTTCTACATAATAGCTGATAAAAATTGCAATAGTTGCTTCATTTAACATAAATTCCGCGAAATAACTCGTCGAGACAATCTGAATACCATAAAAAACTTTAAGTGGGCATGACCAGAGATGATTCAGAATTAATATAGGTATGAGATTAAAGTCTAACTTTTAAAAACTTACCCAAACAAAAGTTTTAAAAATTAAAAATAAGACTAAAGTTTAACATGTATCTACTTACAGAAATAAAATTTTTGTTATTGTACGTAAGTTTTAAAAGTCGGACTTGTACATTCTGTAAAGGAAAAATAATGTAAGAAACCTTGTCATTACCTTAACAGGATTTAATTGTATTAATCCAAACCACTAAATGAAAAGTCAAAGTTCGGTTCAGTAATAAAAAATTGACGAAGTTATAAGGGCACAAGCCGAACGTGCATGACTGAACAGTAAACACGGCGCACTACGGTACGAAAACGCGTTACAAAGCTCTAGCTCCTTATGCGGCACGAAGACAACTAGCACTGACAGCGGCAAACACTGCGTTAAGCTAATCGTAAAAGTTCCTCCAACTCTTGAGCTTTAACACGTCGTGTCGGGCGTCGTTCGTTCGTCAGTTGGCTGGTTGATTGGGTGTTAGAAAAAGGATAGATGTAATACGTAATTATTATTGTAAAGCCAGGAGCTCCTGCTACCGGAATGTGCTGTCTTATAAATATAAACAATAAATTATAACAGGACTTTCATTTTCGTTTTATTACATGCATTGAACACTGTTTACTACACATTAAACCACAGTAAAAGTGCTTATCAATTGTGGTACTTAATTCTGTTCTGCTTGAATTGTGGGCTATTAACTGAGAAAAGAGTTGGTGGCGCCTGTATATAAAATAAAAGACAACCAAAGTGTTTCTGTTTGTCTGTTGTAAAAGCGTAATCATCATCATAAGTTCGTCAGTCCTAAGACTGGTTAGACATGCACCTCCACTGTTTCCTTTGGAGGGCTAATCTTCGCATTTCCTTAAAACTAGAACGTTACACATCCTTAACTATTTATGAACACTAATTTAATCGAGGTTTCCCTTTACTTCTCTTAACACCTGTTTCTGCCTCTAATATGTCTCTGACTAGAACCACATGCCCGAGAAGGTGTCCTACCAACTCATCTTGCCTATTTCTTATTGACTTTCATACAGTCCTTTGTTCTCCTGTTCTTTCTAATACCTCTTCATTTCTAACCTTCTCTATCTACGGTATCCTCATCATTCGCATGTAACACCACATTTCGAACGCTTCTAATATTTTCTTTTCCGCCCACCGTCTATGTTTCGCACCCGTACAGCACCGCTTTCCACACATACACCTTTAGCAATCTTTTCCGATTTTCTAAATTTTTTCTTAAGAAATCGTATGTTTAAGCCGGTTGGTCACATTTACTAGACGAAGATTAAAAGTGTAATAAGGAAAAGAAAAAAGGCCACGTCGGAGTACTCATGTTTTTTTCATCTAAACTTTTATTCAGTATTCCAGGGTGTGGGACGTCGTTAGGAAATCCTTCAAGAAATGATTTTGAAATACTCAAAAGACGTGCTATTACACTAAGAAAAACAATTATCGGTATAAGCACCTAAACATTGTCCAATTAAGAATTATAATATCGATATGGACACATATTAAACTAACTAATCAAAGACAATATTGATGAAAGATCAATGTGTTGGACCAACTACAAATAACGAAAAAATGTTGCATTATCATTTTAACAACCAAAAGGAATTCTAGTAAACCCTGATTATCGACTTTTATCTAATATATTCCAGTAATTATAGAAACTAGAAACTATTTGTAACGAACATTCTTAACATCAATGTGTACTCTTGATAAGGATTTTAGTTGTTTTGTCAGTGCAATTAAATTGTTGTACAATAGTATTTTAAAAGATTTCATTACTGGGATTTTTCAAATCAAATCGACCAAAGTTGATATTGAGGAGGCTTATCTCAATCAAATTTTCGGACAGGGCGTTTTCATAATTTTTTCTTGTGAATGGCATCTACTACCGTTTGACAATGACAATAATTTATTTTAAATAATATAATATGTATTTTAAATGTAATCTCTAAAAAGTTATTTAATGAGTTGTTGTTTAAACAGTTAGATGCACTAATGTAAATTATACAAGATAATATCCTAACTTCGACTATTTCTACGCCGGAAATAATTTGTGTAGAAATTGTGTCATTGCATCTTCATCTATTCAAATCTTAATAATAAGTCGTATTTATTTTCATTATTCTAATTGGTTTAATTATTTGAAAGTCCTCCGGAGATATAAACAATACGTATATTTCTATAGTCAGATATGGATTTGCATTAGAAAAATGTAAGAATGGTGACGAAGTTGAATTTGCAACATTTTTCCTTCTCATAGCGGATAAAACAATGAATGGGATGGGAATAGAGCAACAAGAGGTAGTTGTAGGTGAACAATGAGTAAAGTTACTGTAGAAAGTGTGTAAATACCTAGAAAATGCACCCGCAATTTCATTTTATTTTGAGGGAGCTTGTTTTCATTCGTCTAATGAGCAGAGCAGTGGTCTAACAATGAGAAGAAATAGAAATTTTCCCATGTTAATAAGATGGGACAATCACTATTAAATGTTGAATGTGGTCTCGCCACCACCGATTTCTAAATGTGGAAACTACAGAAAATGAAAACCTTTTTCCTATTCTTGTTACAGGAGCGCACAGAATTTAGGATTGGGCAATAACTAAGGATAAGGAAAAATGCATTTAAGTACATTTATAGGTAGGTATAAAATCGGGATAGCAATAAAAAATCGATTAATCTCATATGAAATTTTAATTTTTCACGTAATAGTTAAACCTAAATGAATCATTCAAGGATGTAGGAAAGTTCTTAGATAATTATGAAGTAACAATTTCAGCATCCTTAGCTTGCCAAGTTCGTAAGCTGACCCATATATGGCTCAACTAGTATCAAATCCTTATGATTTTTAGTTAACCCTAACCTTCAAAAGACACGTGTATAAATTTGATAGCTGTTGGACTTTTAGTATCTGAGTTATAGCATTTTTAGTGAAAGAACTTTTGTTGTTTGAAAAAGAAAGTGCTGATCCATCAAGACAATGAACCGTGTCACAAATCAATAAAATCGATGGCAAAATTCCATGAATTGGACTTCGAACTGCTTCCGCATCCACTGTACTCTCCAGATCTGGCCCTCAGCGACTTTTTTCTGTTCTCAGACCTCAAGAGGATGCTCGCTGGACAGAAATTTCGCGCCGATGAAGAGTTAATCGCCGAAACTGAAGCCTCTTTTGAGGTTAAAGACAAATCGTATTATAAAAATGATATCAAAAAATTGTATGACCGCTATAATCGTTGTATCGCCCTCGAAGGGAACTATATTGAATAATAAAATCAAATTCTATCAAAAAAAATAATTTTTTCTATGTTAGCCTACGAACTTTTCAGCCCGCCTGTTACTTTCATAAAAATTCGCCGATACCATAAATATTAACAATTAATTTATATATTATAAGTACCTACTATTTCTCCTATTTATGGTTTATTCATAAAAATCTGTTCTTTTTCAGATAATTTTGGTATAGGTACATAAAACAGAAATAAATTACTACTTGCGTATGTCTACATAATGTCATTTATAAAAAGAAATTCACTGGCATATACATTCGGTCATCGGATTCGTAGAAAGTCATTTTGCTTTCTGCTATAGGACATTATTGACGAATTAATTTTTAGAAAGGTGACCGCAGGCAAATTTTTTTGTTTTTAAGATTCCGTTTCACGTTGTCCTTCTGATTAAGTATTTGACAAACAAAGTCTTTATCACAAACAGCGTGACTGCACGGTCAAAGACATCAACAAAAAATACCTGTTCGTCTTTCAAGAAATTTAAATGTATCTTTATGCAACGAAGGTGACATGATAGGCGGGATATAAAATACGAATTCGACCTTCTGTCATTGACGCGTTAATGCATACGTATGTGTTTGTTTGAATCGTGAATTTGTAACAGGTGAAATGTGAGGTCGAACTAAGAATTTATAAACTAGTCCAAACTTATGTTTAAGTTATTATGAATATGTAATCAGAAGGAAAAAACAGTAGATATAAAAAGTAAATATAGTTACTGAAAAATTAAAAACTGAAATCGGCTGTTGATGTTTAGACTAAGATATGTTTTCCATTGGATAAAATCACCAAATTCCGTAAAGGAAAGTAGTTAAAATACCTTTATTTAATATAGAAATTGCGTGTGGTTAATATATTACCTAATATAGAAAGTAGGTACTGTATCTTTCGAATGATATGTTTCATTCCCCTTATTTGATAGTAAATACCAAAAAAGCAATAAATTTTCAAGTTCACGTATTATTATGACAACAATGATACAGAAATTGTACAAAAAACATTTTTGAAAATAAAAACGTCACTTTTTCATTTTATGGAACGTTCAGGTTTATTATCAAAATACTATCATCATTATTAATAAGTTTGTTACGAACTTCCACTCTTTTCTATCAATTTTCGCATTTCCCTAAAACTAGAACTATTTTTGAGAAGCAATTTTATCAATGTCTATCTATATAGGTACGATTTCTTCTGACGACCCCTGCTTTTGCTTCTAATAAAACTACCCCTTTATTATCAAATGAAAGTGTTGTTAACAATAAAATTCAAATTTTACAGTAAATAACGTTTTTCTGAAACTCAAAGTAGCAGTAAATGTTAAAGATCTTTGCTGCTACAAAATAATCACTAATTAATTTCATTGTTTATATTTTTAAGCTTTAACACATTTTGCGGGTGCTATTGTGTTTTTTCTACAAAAAGAAAGTCTTATTTTTCAGTTATGTTTTGTAATATTTACGTATATGCTATATAAGTAAGCAAAATAAGTTATTAATTATAATCAATAAAATATGGTGGAGGTGCTGGGAATAGTATTTATTAAAAATAAAACAAAACAAAATTCTGGAATTATGGCACTTTCAAACAGTTTTGAAATGGTTTAAGAGAAAATTGCGATCACAGACAGGTACATATATTCCAATATAAGGACTGAATGGTACAGATAAGGACTGCATGAAATTTAGGCAATACTATTTTCAGTTAACCTATTTGAATTATAATAAACTGACATTTTAAACCTTTTGTCAAATTTTTAAGTTATATACTATCTTACTTACTATGAAGCGAACGATTTTCGAAGCTTTTCCTTTAAATAACCATGAAGAAAACCAGGCACCTAAGAAACGGAAACCATCAACGTCTGATTTAATAAGCAGTCCCAGCAACACTTTACATTTTAGTGATATACCTGACGAAGTAATGGTTAAAATATTTTCGTATTTTTCGATATTCGAATTGTATTACACCATTAGATTGGTGTGTGAAAGATGGCATGGTTTAGCAATGGATTACAAACTGTGGAAAGTAATAAGTATACCAGATGATACACCTTTTGACGACGTTAGACTGTGGTTAAAATCGGCATTAAAATTGAAATATTTAACAATTTATTACAGGACCGACATTGAAAAAATATTACTACAGGTAATATGTACATCAATATAATCAACTTTACCAAATGTACCAAAAGCTTCTTAAAGCATTATCTTTATCCTTATTTATCTTTTGTATCAACGTCTTCGTTTGTCTGTAAGTAGAATTGAACGTATCAAAAGCCTTATTTGAAAACCTTTTGAGGAAAATGACTTTGTGTTAAGTCAGAATTTACCGCCAATTTTCAGTCTAAATTTTTAATTATAAAGTTCAAACTACATATGCGCAAAAACAGCACAGGTCTAAAGGTGTCGTAGGTTGGGGTAGCTCCGTAACGTTTCGCTAGCAGGAACGGCGAGCTTCTTCAGAGGTCCTCCCATGCATCAGAGAAGAAAAAACCTCTGAAGGAGCGAAACGTTAGAAAGGAACCCAACCAACGACAGCCTTCAGAGTCTATTTGCGAACACTCATCTAATCTAGGTCTACCTCTACTTCTCTTAACTGCTGTTTCTGCTTCTAATATGTCTATTAACAATCTTTTTCGAATCTCTAAATTAACTGTTCGTGAGCACAGAAGTGACTTCTTTTTATTGAAGGCGACTCGACCTTGCGCTATCCTTTGCTTTATATTGCTACTACTCCTTCCGTTCTGACTTCCTAGATACCTAAAATCAGCCACTTCTTCTAATCTTTCGTCTCCTACCTTTATCTTCGCTCTTTCCCTATTTTTCCTCCCCTTGCATTTATACATATAAAATTTAAAATACCTACATGAACGCTTAAGGAGATCTAATAACTATTTGTTAAAAATCTTTAATGAAGGTAGTGAAAAGGTTTCGTTTGTAGCACATAAAATTTGTTTCTCGATCGCTTACTACAGGAGATATAATTTAGTCAAAAATTTTTGTAAAATCTAGTGATACTACTGTTAAAGGGTATTAAGTTTTGTAGTAACATTTAAACTTTCAACGGTGTATTCTCGATGAAACATTTTCAATAAACAAACAATAACAAAAGTTACTTTGGTACTCTTGAAAATGACCTTTTAGAGGTCGAAACAATTGTCGAGGAATAAACAGTTTTGTTGAAACATCTTTTACTTTCTCTTCCTTTAACTTTTGTAGTTAATAAAACTGTTTAAAATGCTTTTAATACTACTTGCTTAAAAAGTACAATATCCGGCTGTGAGGGGACATGACAAACACAAAGGCCCTAAGCAATAACCACCTAATAGGTAGGTACTCTTTACCACATCTCTATAATGTAGGTACGTGTTGTGCAATTGAAATATTAACAATTTATTACAGGACCGACATTGAAAAAATATTACTACAGGTAATATGTACATCAATATAATCAACTTTACCAAATGTACCAAAAGCTTCTTAAAGCATTATCTTTATCCTTATTTATCTTTTGTATCAACGTCTTCGTTTGTCTGTAAGTAGAATTGAACGTATCAAAAGCCTTATTTGAAAACCTTTTGAGGAAAATGACTTTGTGTTAAGTCAGAATTTACCGCCAATTTTCAGTCTAAATTTTTAATTATAAAGTTCAAACTACATATGCGCAAAAACAGCACAGGTCTAAAGGTGTCGTAGTTTGGGGTAGCTCCGTAACGTTTCGCTAGCAGGAACGGCGAGCTTCTTCAGAGGTCCTCCCATGCATCAGAGAAGAAAAAACCTCTGAAGGAGCGAAACGTTAGAAAGGAACCCAACCAACGACAGCCTTCAGAGTCTATTTGCGAACACTCATCTAATCTAGGTCTACCTCTACTTCTCTTAACTGCTGTTTCTGCTTCTAATATGTCTATTAACAATCTTTTTCGAATCTCTAAATTAACTGTTCGTGAGCACAGAAGTGACTTCTTTTTATTGAAGGCGACTCGACCTTGCGCTATCCTTTGCTTTATATTGCTACTACTCCTTCCGTTCTGACTTCCTAGATACCTAAAATCAGCCACTTCTTCTAATCTTTCGTCTCCTACCTTTATCTTCGCTCTTTCCCTATTTTTCCTCCCCTTGCATTTATACATATAAAATTTAAAATACCTACATGAACGCTTAAGGAGATCTAATAACTATTTGTTAAAAATCTTTAATGAAGGTAGTGAAAAGGTTTCGTTTGTAGCACATAAAATTTGTTTCTCGATCGCTTACTACAGGAGATATAATTTAGTCAAAAATTTTTGTAAAATCTAGTGATACTACTGTTAAAGGGTATTAAGTTTTGTAGTAACATTTAAACTTTCAACGGTGTATTCTCGATGAAACATTTTCAATAAACAAACAATAACAAAAGTTACTTTGGTACTCTTGAAAATGACCTTTTAGAGGTCGAAACAATTGTCGAGGAATAAACAGTTTTGTTGAAACATCTTTTACTTTCTCTTCCTTTAACTTTTGTAGTTAATAAAACTGTTTAAAATGCTTTTAATACTACTTGCTTAAAAAGTACAATATCCGGCTGTGAGGGGACATGACAAACACAAAGGCCCTAAGCAATAACCACCTAATAGGTAGGTACTCTTTACCACATCTCTATAATGTAGGTACGTGTTGTGCAATTTTAGTTTATTGCCACTGATAGAATTTTAATGGTATTTCGAAGAAATTTTAATTACTCCTTTTTATTGTGAGCAAACACAATTATTCTTTTTCTAATGGTCATTAATGCTATTAATATTGGTATAATGATTGACGCAGTACTTTTATTAAGCGCAATTATTAGAAAGAAAGCATTGCATCCTTGTTAAGCCCATAACAAGTAGAGGGTTCGTAATTAACTACTCCAGTAGAAAGTATTACTGTAATAATTATTCTCTTCATGCACTCTGCTGTTTACTATTTAGTAGATCTTGTACAAATATCTTCTAGGTATTTTTTTAGACATTTTCTTGAGAATTGCTCAAGAGAGAAAAGCCGCTCAGTTTTGTATCCTGCATTATCTTAAAACCCTTTATCAGTTTTTTTTCAATTGAAACAATAAAACGATAGCTCAAAACCCAACGCCAAAACACGACACTGTAGTTGTCCGAAGCACTTTTACCTTCTTCAGGGACTGAAGTGAACTGAAGTACACAACAACCGCCAAAGCTTTTCCAATCTTCATGTGTAGTTACTCCATAGTTTTTTGAACGATATCAAATCGCTTTCTTAAGTTTGAAGTTTTTCTTTTTACATTTGTCTATATTATTAATGTTGTTCATGGTAAAAGTATTTTTTGTATACGATTAAAATAGGTAAATGTACATAAGAATTCTTAAAAAAGTTTTTCATAAAACTGAATAATCTCAAATATATTTTAGGTGCGAATAAATTGTATGGAGTTGCAAGTATTAGAAATAATCAATTTTATAGTCCCACATCAAAAGACAATTAGTACCAATTTATTACGCAATTTGCTGTCGAAATGCCAGAAATTGAAAATAATATCATTTTTTGGATCCGGGTAAGTGTAAGGTAAACTTTATTACAGTAAAAGCTCAGTTGAACTTTAATAATAAGATTTTCTATATAATGAACGCATTGAATGAAATTGAAGAATTGGCAATAGTTTTATTAAATTTACGATTTTAGATCTCCAAACCGATTTTTCTTCCGTGCAATAGTACGTAAAAATAATGGACATATCAAAAGGCAAGTGTACACTGAACCTCTAAGTATAAAGCGATTACTACGTTTGTTAAGTTCACTTCAAGGTCAGCATTCTGCAGATTATAAACATTTTAAGGATATACGAACGTTTCATTCTCGTTTGTATCTAATAGGATGTAAATGGAAATCCAACACTTATCCCAAAAATTACTTAAATGTTCTCAGAAACTTAATAAAGTTTACAGTCCTATAATTCCCTTGATACGTCACTTTACTTTTAATATTGTGAAACCTATTATGTAACTACACGTTCTGAAGAATAAAATGCTAATTACATCATAGTTGGATTAATCAGTAAAGCATTTATTATACTGATCTATATTTTGAATTCTAGTAATACGTACGAAATATTTAGTTTTGAAATTGTCTATTAATTGCTTTAATTCAGTTATTATTTATTTGTCTTTGTATATAAACAGCAAGTAATTGTAAATTACCATTCACTTAATGTTTAGCGACGGATTGAATTTGATATTTGAAAATTGGTTGTTTGTAATATCGTTTAAGGGTTCTGCGCCCCTAAGGGAGAACTGTTACATATGTTCACTCACGTTCATGACATGTTCCTCCGTCGTTATCATATATGCTTTCTTTAAAAATAGTGAAAAATTAGAAACTATTTATAGGAAACTTTTAGAAGCAATTAGGTAATGTTTCCAAAATTTACAGGACTAATAAAACAAAAAAATCCCTGGTTCTTCTTAAAAGATGAAATTGTATAATTGCTTTTAATGTTGTTTTAATCCGTCAAGTAATTTTGATAAAGGTGAACGAGTTCGTTGGCCATATTACAAAATAAGGAAAAGAAAACAAATCCCACACGTCTTGTTTTCAATTTAATTTACTTTTTCTTAAAATTTCCAAATTACCTTATATACCTATTTTCATTTCGAAGTAATGGAAACATTTGTATCTACTCATCTTCGTATTTCCTCTCCTAATATTTATTAATAGCCAATTCAAGCAATTTAAGGGGTGAAAATGTGTTATTTAATATACAACCAAACCGACGTTTCGCTTTTTGGTGTTAAAGCTTCTTTAGGGTAGATTATACAGGTCAAATATCTTAGAAGAAGCTTTAACACCATAAAACGAAATGTCGGTGCGATTAATATAATAAATAAAACATTTTTCGCCATTTAAAATGCTTGAATTAACATATAGGGTATAAGGTGTGAATGGGGTAACCTTTTACTGTAGAAGTCAACTTCTTACTATATTCGATCTCGCACCAGGAGAAAACTTCATGGATTACATTATCATAACATTTTACATTCATTCAACGCATTTTATAAACAATTTTACCATACACGCGTACTATTTCGATGTCAATTTGTCCTTCATTTAAGTTACAAGTTTTACTAGTTCAAATGTTGTATTCCTATTTGACGTTTTCAAAATTGCATTTGATATGATACGCGACTTAAAATTCGGACTCGGCTTTTTTTTGGAGGTTGTCAATCCACCCCCTCCTCCTTTTTCATCCGGGCTTGGGACCGGCATTAGCGGAGTTACCCTGTACACAATGGTAAAATTACATACCAAGGGAAAAAAGTAATTTAATATTTGTCGCTTGAAAACTACCACCCGAGTCGAAAGAGTGACTGCCATTTAATAACCGGCAGGGAATATAGCGTTTTGGTTCATGAAATAACAAGTTTAGTAAGGATTTAGATACTTAAAAACGTCTATTAATTTTAAGATACAACAGTAGCCTGATCAATTCTGCCTTCTAACTCGTCCCATTAAAATAACCACATGCTTTCATTTTTGGCGCAGTTTACTAAAATTCTAAAATTAGTCGCTAGCTCGATGTAGTCAAATTGCTTTTAAATAAACCAAGTTGTAACAAGATTGGTAAATGCTTACACCAGACGACACAATTATACAAATGATTCTTTTTAAACATACTTTAGAGAAGCAATTAAATAGTGAGTACAAATTACTGCTCTGTGTATGAAATTTCCGGTTGAAGCCTATCAAACCCTGTCAACAGAACGTCATCGTCAGAGAAAAAGATGCAGACTGTTCCGCATTCTAAGTAATAGGAAAAGTAATTAAAAACTGTGGTACTTTTATTTATTTACAATTTACATGTTACGTAAAAAAGTTAAACTTCCATGATTTCTTTCAATTTCTGCGTCAATCTATAGAGAGGCAATCCGATAACGTTATTGTAATCACCGTCAATTCTTTCAACAAAAGAGCTCCCCAGTCCTTGGATTGCGTAGCCGCCAGCTTTCCCACTGAAAAACAATTTTAGTAATAGTGATCTGTAAAAAAAGTAGAAGAAAAGTTTGAAGAAGATGAGACTTATAATATAATTAAAAGGAAATTTTGAGCAGCAGAATACAGCAGTAATAATATAAGAAACGAGGTAGGGGTCATTATGATAGAAAATGAGGAAAATGCAGGCAGGTGGAAAGAATATTTAGAGAACCTATACGCAGGCCATACTTATAACTTCCCATGTGTCAAAAATCTTAACTAAAAGGAGGATGGAAAAAAGGGCGGAAGAACTATTTGGGGAAGATCAATTTGGGTTTAGAAGAAATAGAGGAACGCGGGAGGCCATTCTAGCTTTACGGGTAAGAAAACGACAGAAAAACGAAAAAGTGCGTACATGGGATTTGTAGATTTAGAAAAAGTTTTTGACAATGTTAAATGGGATAAGATGTTAAATATACTTAAAAATGGAAGGATGAGTTACAAAGATAGAAAAGTGATACAGAGCTGGAGTAGTAACGTAGAGAAGTAAATATTAGGAAGGGAGTTAGACAGGGATGCACACTGTCACCGCTACTTTTTAATCTATACATCGAAGACGCGATTAACATCACTAAAGACATTATAATTGTAGGGATAGATATACAGGGGCAAAAGATTAGCATACTTAGATTTGCAAATGATATAATAGTATTAGCATCTAGCAAAGGAGGAGTTAGAGATAGCTTTAAATACAATGGAAGCGGTATTGACAAAAGAGTACTTTATGAAAATAAATAATAGTAAAACTAAAATACTAATATACAAGGAAAGAAAAAGTAAGGAAAGAGCGAATATAGAGATGAGACGAAAAATTAAAAGAAGTGGCTAATTTTAGGTATCTAGGAGTTTAGACAAGTCAGGACGGAAGGGGTAGTAAGGATATAAAGCAGAGGGTAGCGCAGGGTCGAGTCGCCTTCAATAAAAAGAAGCCACTTCTATGCTCCCGAGTGGTTAATTTAGAAATTCGAAAAAGAGTGTTATAGGGGTATGTTTGGAGCGCGGCACTGTACGTGTGCGAAACATAGATGGTGGACGCAACGGAAAAGAAAATGTTAGAAACGTTCGAAATGTAGTGTTACCGGCGAATTATGAGGATACCGTGGATAGAGAAGATTAGAAATGAAGAGGTATTAGAGAAAATAGAATAGAAGACTCAACGAAAGTCAATAAGGAATAGGCGAAATAAGTTTGTAGGACACCTCAGGCATGAAGGTTTAGTCAGAGACATATTAGTGGCAGAAACAAGAGGTAGGAGGAGTAGAGGTAGACCTAGATTAGATTACTGTTCGCAAATAGTTTAGGATGTAGGATGTTATAGTTTTGGGGAAATGTGAAAATTAGCTCAGGATAGGAAAGAAAGAGTGGAGGTGCGTGTCCAACCGTTCTTAGGACTGATAATGATGATGAAATAGTTAAGCGGAAGATGAAAGTAACATATAAAGAAAAAGTTAAAAGCTATATAGGAGTAAACCTTTAAAAAGGGAAAAAGACATATTACAAGCCGAAAGAGGAGTTAAGAGTTGTAGAGGCAAATGCCATGAACATGACAATCAGTCAAAGATTTTACAAATTACCAAAAATAAGTAGGTAAATAAACTAATATCGTTAATTATGTATATATGAAACGTCACGATTTCTCACACATTGCTTTTTTATTTAAACCCATATAATTCAATTCCTAAACGGCGGAAAAGTCTTAAATTACATTACATGCATATGTCGATTGTTTACTTATCTTCACCCTGTATAAATTTAATTGATTTCCCAAAGGAATTGTTTAACAGAATCAAAGGTATGGAGTAGATACATACAATTAATGTATATTTAAGCCAACAATGTAAAGGATGATGAGGTTCCAATGAACGAACAATAAGAGTTCATCTTAGTTATTATACGAAACGAGGATAATGTTGTCCAATTTCATTTTTCATTTATTAAGAACATGGTTCAAGCAAAATTCATCGAAATGGTAAATCCTTTGTTATAGAATCCTTTCGCTTTAAATCTGGGAGACAATTTCGCAAACAAATGTAACGACAATAAAACTGAAGACCTTTCGTCATCAAAGGATTTTTTTTCAAACGGAAAGCGGCATGCGACTGACGAATTTGACGACGACGAAGATTACGGTCCTGAAACGGACGTCGATACCGTTGACGACTCCATTCTATCTCCAACGTCTCCTAAAGCTTTCACTGACGGGCCAACAAATAATAATATCACGTTTACAGACAAATCAGGTAAATGTCATATTCCATCACTATAATACAAAGAAAGGGCATTAATTACAAGAAGAATGTAATAAAAAATTATATATTTCTTGGTTAGATTACTTAGTACAATATATTTTTTAATTATAATATCTGAGTAAATTAGTAGCTCTCTAGTTTAAAACAGAGAGGTTCTTTTAATTTAGCAACCTCCTGATACAAAGATGGTTATAATGCTTCAAACTTCTTTTTTTACGTCATTCCCAAAAAATAGAAATTAATTCATTAGAGCCCTAAACAATACAACTGCTTACTAT